CGAGCACCCTGCAGCCATGGCCGGGACAGTGACCAAGGAAGCTGACAGGTTTTGTGTCACAAGGGATGGTACCTCCTCCTCACTGACACAAAGCACATTCTGATAGCAAGGAACTTAGATATTTAGCCAGCTGGTGTAATCAAATGAGATTTCCTTCCAGTTTCAAAAGTTTCTTTTCCCTGAATCTCCCAGGTCTGGAGGGGCCCAGGTGTGAGTGCCCATGTGTTTGCTGATCTGGGATACTGCCTACCACTGACAGTGAGTGCTCACTGGTCTCACAAGAAGTCACAAAATACATGTGTTCATTAGACTGCATCTCCTCATAGCTTTCTTTGTGGGCTTATTTAGCAGGTTATTATAAACAAAAAACTCTCTGAGCCCTGCCAGTTGTTTACCTGGGTCTCAGTGCATCACCCATTACAAGCATGTGGGAAGTTTCTTTTTCATCTAAGTTAAATTTGATGTCAAGCATTGCCTATTTTTTACTTTTTCTTATGAAACTGTTGCCGGGATGTCTGATGGAGATTATCATGTGGATAACTACTATCAGCTACTTCAAGAAAAATAATTAAGATGAAACCTTTAAACCTTTTAAAAATAACTATTACAAAATGCAGGAGGTAACAGTAAACCAGTCATCTGTGAGAATCATTAAAAACAGATGGTGAAAAAACAGTTTAGTCAGAAAGTAAAAACCATGGCCTAATGCTGGAAAATGCCTCCTAATGTTTGTTATTACAGTGGTTAAGACCCCCCCAGGTTATTTTTGCACTCATAATTATTTCTGCCCATTCATTATGCAGAGGTGCTTTATGGTATATGTGAGGGCAAAAGAAAGTTGCTGCAACATGAATTAGTTGATGAGGCACTGACTTTTGCTGTTACTGTGTTTGCCAGCTTGCATATTCTGCATGTAGAGTGATCTGCTACAGGGGAACTGATGTTGGCTGTTGGAACCGGATAAATCCTGCTACAGCTTCAGGTGTTGGGTTAGAGATATTTGCATATACAAATCAATCCATTTGAAGTATTTGCTTTAAAATTTGCTCAGTATGGGGGACTGGTGTGACAAGTCTCAGTTTTCTCAGTATTTGCTCTAGGGAATCTAGAGAAGGACAGGTAGAGGTGTTATTTCCCAGTCTAAGGCTAATGTAACCATCGTGCTCTGGGTTTGGGTATTTGTTAAACCTGATTGTTTCAGCACATCTTACAGAGAAAGATGAACAACCTATTCTCCACAAACAAGGTCCTTTTTGGACCTGGTCTTCTTTCCCATGCAAAGTTTGATTTTTAACATGTTTCCCCTACTCCACCACCTATCTCCAGGGAAAGGTTTGTTTTCTTTTAATAAGGAATTTTACAGAGAGTAAACAATGCTTCAGAAAAGCAGCAGTGGTCATGTTGGCAGTGGTCTTCACAATGAACATGAGTTGAAGGGGATTTGGCACTTTGACAAAGTAATTCTTTTAAATCAGTTTCCTGTTGGTAGATTATCTCATTAGTATAATTTTGAAATGTCAGAGGAAAAATGGACATTCCGTGCATTTTTTTTATACTACATCAGCAGATGACTGATCAAAACACTCTGTTTGCAAGAGGTGCTGCTCTTCCAGTTATTTTTGGGGTATCTGATAAAATATTGTGAGGTTCAGGACATTTATTTTATTTATCCTTATTCTGAATATATTGTCTGGAGCATGAGTTCTTCAGTCATTTTTAATTCTTAAATTTATGAGCTGAGTGAACTTTGAAAAATCTATTAGTAGATTTTTGCTATTTTTATTGGCCATATTTACCTCATCTATGAATCTGGAAACATAAATAAGCACAAATATGCATTGCTAGTATGAAAGTATAAGGTGGAATTGACATTTACTTCTGAATTCTGCCAAATTGGGGGTGTTTGTAATGTCTTGCTTTTTGACAGTCCACTTATTTTATATGACAGAAAGTTATTCTTTTAATTTTTATACTTCAAGGTATTTTCTGGCCTGTGTTTTAGAAAGCTCTCCAGGATTCATCTTTGGCTGTGAATATGACTTTCTACAGTCCCATGTAAGGTTAGTCTGTTTTATGATATGTGAAAAATGCATAATGGAAACAGCCTGAAGGGCTAAATGAAATCCCTCTGGCTTTCAAAGCAGAGCTCCCAATTACTGTCAGCCCCTAGTTACGGCTAAATGAGAACAGAGTAGACCTTTGCAGTTGGCAGGGACCTACAGCGATCCCCACTCCAGCTGCTGCAGCGCTTCAGGGCGGACCCAGCGTTAAAGCATCTTGCCAGGGGCTCTGGGTCAGTGATTCTCTAGCACTGCTGGGCTTGGGGCATTGACAGCCCCTCAAGGAAGCCTGTTCCTGTGTCCTGTTCCAGTGTCTGACCACCTTCTCTGTTAGGAGATGCTTCCTGATGTCCAGTCTGAATGTCCCTGGCACAGTTCTGTCCGTTTCCATCTATGCCACACATGGCAGAGAGAAGAGTTCAGCACCTTCCTCTTCCCAGAAAACTGCAGAGAGCAATGAGGTTGCCCCTCAGCCTCCTCTTCTCCCAACTAGACCCACCCCAAGTCCTTACCTGCTCCTATTAAATAGAAAACTTCAGCTTTTATTTCCATTGGAATAATAATCATATATTGAGGAAATAACTGTGAAAATGAAAGTGACCATGAAGAAGATAAAACTGTGGGTGAGAATATGCTACTGTTTAATGTGTACTGAATTACACGTTCTTTGCTACAGAGAGGCCAAAATGCCAAAGCTAAAAGAATAAACTCAGAGGGATAAAATGCTTGAGGGGGGTTTGAAAAGCAGGAAAATGTTTTAAAATGGCCTTTGTGCTGAGACCATGCTTGCTTTCCTCTTTCAAGTTTTGTAGTGTCTAGAATTGGCAGACAACTTGTTGCACAATTCCTTGCCTGCAACAAAGCTCGAAACAGCTGTTTGTGTGGCACTGTCAGTCATACACTTGTCAGGCCATAGTGCTGAATTAGGACTGGAGGTCTCCAGTGCCAAATAAATGGACAGTGAATGCTGCTTGTTAGCTAATCAAGTAGTATCATTCACACAGAAACAGCACTACTGTTGCATTCTGTTTGTTAATTCTGTTTGATTTGATGGTATGTTCCTGTTAGCCCCCTGTTACTGTCAGATAGTGGTTTTGCCCAGTTGTCAAATTTAATAAACCCCTCCCGTTGTTCCTGAATCTTCCCTGCTTATCACCCTCAGCCTGCCCCTAGCCCTTGTCCGTCATTGTTAATCCTGCCCTTTGTTCCAGCATTTTCCATGCCCTTCATCCCCTACTCGAGGCCCCATTGGTGTTGTGACCACCGTCCCACCCATGTTTTCCTCTCATTGGTCCCAAGTGTTGTAAACCCCTCCTTCGTCTCCTCCCAGGTTGTGTCCTGATTGGTTTTTCAGTTTGTACCCTCCCCTCTTTAAATTTGGAAGCACAGAGCTGTTCAGGGCTCAGTTGCTCTCCTCTCTTACCATCCCGGTCCTTTCCCCTGTCATTGCTCCCTTTACCCTTCATTAAAACCTGTTCCTGGGAAGACAAAGAGACTCTGAGCCTCCTCCATCCCTTTACTGAAACCCGCGACGCCTGGGATCTACAGAGCCCGAGTGCAGGGAGCTCTGGAGGTTCGGCACATGGACTGTCGTTCCTGTGTCGTTCCCCACTCTTGGCGCTGCCATTAGCCAAGTTGTCCAGGGCTAGCCCGAGGCTTGGAAAGGTGTAGAGCGCAGCGTCACACTACCTCATTTCTTTGCCACCATCCCTTCCATCCAAGTGTTGCAGCTAAAACTGAGCAGTTCAGACCTGCAATCTAGAGATAATAATGTGTAGCTGATTTGGCTATTAGAAATGGAGATAAATGTCCCACTGGGTGTCGAGAGTAAAGAATTGGGAAAGAATAAATATGACAATGTGCTGTTTATAGATAGAAAGACAAAAGTTGCAATAATAATGCAGAAGTTATCCCTCCCAGCCATCTTTTCCTCTCCTGCTCAGTGGTTTAAACAGTACTTAGATGATTGTATTACATAGAATAAGCTATTTCTTTTTACAGAGGGAGTGCTCACACACTGTCATCTTACCCTTCTGACAAGTGGCTAAGAACAGATGTTTCTACTGAAACACATGGGCCACCACTTCCAGTACAGGTGTTCACAGGGATGGGGGCAGGTGAGTGCCCGTGACTCTACATCAGGCATTCAAACAGGTGATTAGCAAGCAGAAAACAAGTATTGCACCTTTCAGCCATTGTTAAACATCATGGTTTTTAATGCATTTTTTTTAAAGTCAGCAGTAGAACAACTTGGAGGCTTGTGAATCCACTGGAGAAAAGCAACTTCCATAGCTGGATCTCAGTTACTTGTCTCCTGGACTCCACCCAACTGCAGACAAACAGGTCTGAGTTCACACCTGACTTGGGAAGGAACAGCCTAGATCTCTCTTGATTTATCATTTAAAAATGCACACTGTGACAAGTCTCCAGTCATTTTCCAGGGAGGTATTTGTTCTTGTCTGTGGAGAATGAATCCAGGAATATAAGTTTGAATTGAAGCTTTGCAGTGTAAAAGTGAATGAAGTGTTTTTAAAATGGCATCACCCAACCAACAGTCCTTTCTAAGGCCATGATTTTGTGGTACCAACATTTATATTTGTTACTGGCAAAGTGAAAACTGTACTGGATAACTTTTTGTTTCCAAAGTGCCATAAAATTATCACTGTTATTTGAGGCAGAGATAAAAATACGTTTTTTGGGTGAGTGAAATAGGCCTACTAAAACATTCTTGAAATAATTTATTTTAATCCTGTAGCCCTTCTAGTTATTTAAGTATTTATTTTTTATTTCTTATTTTTTTAACGTATTTAATATATTATGTAATACTATATTAATATTAGTTATTAACTGTATTATATAATATATATTATATACTATATATGATTGTATTTTGTTAATATTATTAATATCAATATAATATATTTTATTTATTTCCTTTTATTTTAAGTATTTTTCACATGCAGTTTCACACGAAAAAAAATATGTAATTTAAAAACCAGTTTCAGCCCAAACTGGTATGCTGGTTTCCACAGGGAGACATTGCTTCTTGGATGTACAAGCTGTTTTGCCTGTGAGGATGGTAGGTTTCAGCTCTGATTAGTAAACACGTTCCTGTTCTAGCATACCATCATTTTGACTTGCAGTGAAGACTTAGTGCTGCAAAAATAGTATTTTTTGAATTAATTAAAAAAGTAAAACATCACCTACTTTAAATGACTCGCAGGATCATCTTTTTATATTTCACCTTTGTATCATCTTAATGTTAATTCTGTCCTAGGCAGTGTAGTAAGCTACTCCATTTAAATAATAAGCTCATTGCTAGAATATTGGAAAGAAAATGGAGTAAAAAGTAATTTAAAAAGTCGAGTTTAGGGCAATTCACACTTTGCCTTACACATATCCGGCCTGAGATAATGAAACTGGATTCTTAAGAATTACATGCTAGTAAGAAAAGGGAGTGCTCCTTCTTTGAGAAGATTTTTACAAATGATCTAATTTTGACACTGCTACTCCATGAGCTGCAGACTAACAATTCCAAGGAGGTAAGAAGCCCTGGTCAGGAGTTTTCCATCCAGATTAGGAAATGGTGATCTGACTAAACTGAATTGTGTGAATGCTGCTGGCACTTCTGACTGTGCACAGGTGAGCAGCAGGTTCACCTAAGCAGGTTCTTGTCCAGCCTGCTTGAACTTCCACACACAGCTCTAAGCTTTTCAGTGTCCTGGGGGTGTTGAAAGCTTTCTGCAGTCCAGAGCGAAGCAGGCAAATCCCAATCTGGCAGATTTGCTTTCTGGTTCCTTCCTGGTCTGGGCTCCTACAATTCTCCTCGTCTCTCTGTGCAATGAAGATTGTTAATGTATTTCTGTTCTGCATCACATTTTATGTTTACATCATTAGTATTTAAAAAACTTTTCATAATGAGAACTATTCCTGTAGAATGGGAATTCCAGTTCCTACCAGTAAAAGAGAGAAGTGATCCAAGGACCTTGTGGCTTTTTGGTGCCATGTGTTTACCACCTCCACCTACTCCCCTGTTTCTTGAGTTAGGAAAGTCAGTGCTTAAGCAAACCTCTCCCTGGGGAAGTATTCAATCAGCAGGGAACAAACAGTTGAATGCCACAATAAAATCAGCCAATCAACTGAAGATAAAAGGATATTTTCCCTCTAGTTTATTTTTGGGGTCACTTGTGGTAAAAGGAAGATGGAAATGTTCTTTCTGAGTTGGATGTGTTTTGCAGTGTGTGACTGAATATTTCATATATACCTGGAGGGATTTCTATCAGTGCAGAGGGTTGTGAGTGAGCTGTGGAAATGCAATCCTGGGAAAGCCTCTCAGGAGGTTTTTTTCTTGGAAGTCTGAGCCTTTCAGCCAGGAGTACCTATTTGGTGTCTTCCTGAACCTGCTGAGGAGCTCCAAACTGCTGCAGCTCTTCCACAGGAGACAGCCGTAAGTGGTCAGTCCATAAGAGCTTCTGCTAGTCATCCTCCAACATATGCTTTAATAATTGAACTTCCAACTGTTAAAGAAGTCCTTTACTCTGTGTCTTCAGCCTACTTCAGTCTCACTTCCTTCTCAGCCTCTGAGTAGGCTTCTCAGTTGACTGATACTTTGATAGCATTTTCTAGAATAATTGTTTCTGGAAGATGATAACACAACAAGGTAGCTCAAGTTTTGTAGTTACAGACTACATTCCAGGGAAATCACGTCTGTAACCGCCCCTCTGGTTTTTGCAATCAGGCCAGATTTGATTGTGCTGCACTGATTATGAGCCAGACCAAGTTCCGTGGTTCTTAACATTGCAGTTGGGATGCATTCTCTGAGAGAGGCGTGGCTGAGAGGTATAATTTTGAAGCAGAATGAAATTGCTGGTTGTGTAACAGATCTGTCTTTTGTCCTTCACAATTATGAGTGTACACATGCAGTCCCAAATGTGTGTGCATATACAAAACCCACGGGCTCAAAAAGGAAAATGTCTAGTTTTGTTCAAAAATGGACTCCAGGATGAATTTCGCTGTCTGCCAGCTGGACTGGCACCTCAGTTTTTGAGGCTGATCTTTGCGGTATGGTCTGACAGAGCAGAGACTCCAGATTGGATCTCCTGCCTCTTAGATCACTTCTCTCCTGATCACAGTCACTACTTTGTACAGGTGACACAATAAATTGTAGAAACTGATGCATCTGTGCAAAAAACTGAAAAGAGTTCCAGCACTCTAAAAATTATCACGAACTTCGACAAAAATCTCCTTTCAAAACTAAGTGCTTTGTCCCATTTAAACTGTTCCTTTAAAAAGGGTTTAGAAGAAATATGATTCAGATTGGCTATTTTATATTCTATCAGGGAGACAAATGGGAGCAAGGAAGTGTTTATGAGTCAGAAAACGTTTTGTTTATCAGCATGATCTCAGCTCTTTGGTCCCAAACCTTTCCTGTTTGACATAGGGTAAGTGTGTCCTGCCAGAGATTGCCCTGCAGACAGGGTGTGGCAGTGGCTGTGAGGTTAGTGAGAAATGCTGGAAGAGGAGCCAGTGAGATGTGGTGGCTATTGCTGTTTTTATAGGGAAATGAAGAATGGATTGCGATGATAGAAGACATTGGCAGCATTCAAGCTGTGGAGTGAGTGTGAGGAGACAGTAAAGGCACCCAGGAAAACACAGCTGATAAAGTCACAGAATAATTTGTGTTGGAAGTGATGTCATCTGGTCCAGCTGTCAAAGATCAAAGCAGGGCCAACTTCACAGCAAGGTCTGTCCGTCTTGCACTCACGTGTCCACACTGTGCGCTCCAGATAGCGCAGCCCAGGATCTTAAATTGGTTCTTGCAGCTCCCAGTGTCTCTAAAGATCCAGTAGGACCTGGAGTCTCACAGTCTCTGGGAAAAGAGGTTATTGCAGCTCGGGTTCTGCTGGTGATGGGAGCTTGTCTGGCATAGCAGGTGGCCTAAAGCAAGACTACAAGCCAGATTTCATCATTAGGACCTACAGGTCACCTTGTTCTAACTCAACCCCCAAGCCTCTACTGACACATCTTCTCTCAGTTTCCTTTCTTTTTGGTTTTTTCTTCTTCAGAGTGCTGTGGAGACTCTGGTGTTATGCTACTGTGGGCTTCCTGCCTTTGCATGTTGCACAGAGGGACGCTTTGGCCAAAATAGATTCTGGTTCCCTTCTAGAGCTGTGGCAATGCAGCACAACCATGAGCCCCCGCTATGCCATGAGTTCTGAGGTGTTCATGAATGCCTTAGGCAGTGCTGGGATGCAGAAGCTACACAGGGGACTGCAGCAGCTCCTGTCCATACTCTCTCAGCTGCTGAGTTCTCCCTGAGGCACATGCTCAGAGATTCATGCTACTCTTGTTGGCACCTCACTAAGTCAGGAGTAACTTCAAGGCAGCAAAATGAATTATAGGTGGGGGCAAGAGGCCAGAACAGATTACATTTCACTTTTTTTCTCCCTAGGCATTTCCTTTTTTTAATTACTTAATTTAGAATGGGATTAGAATTCTTTAAGCTGCTTTTCTATCCATCTCTATTATTTGTTTTTCATTTGTTTGCTGCCAATGTGCAATGTTTTCTTTCTTAATCACTTGCTAGCATGGTAATTTTTCTTAAAACATATTCAGATCACAACAATTTTCTGGCAAAGAAAAGCATGAAATTCATGGCCCTTGAAATCTGCATCCGTATGGAGGAAAATAAACCCTGTCGTATTTCACTGTCAGAAAAGAATAGTAGCCACAGAGTTATACTTAGATATTGAACCTTGCAATATTCAAAAGAGAAGCAAAATAATACATGAAGGATTCTGATGTTTCTGGCACTGACGAGGCACGTGTATTGTCTGACTGATGGTGATCATTTGTTACAAGAACCCGTGTGTGTTTCCGAATGCCATTGGAGATGACGCTGAACAGGCTGGCAGTGCTGTCCGTATGCCGGTGGTCTCAGGCTCCCCAGCAGAGCCTTACAGCCATTTAGAAGGCTGGAGAAAAAGCAGGTCACATTTCCAAGTCCATCTCGCTTTCTTTGCCCTGAATGCTAATCCTGGTTTAAGGTGGAAAACAACTTGAAATATTCCATAAATAGAAATGCTTAACACCTACTTTGTACTTCTGTTCCTCAAGCTGTTCTTCTGTAATTTTCATGTGTTACGTGAGAGTGGCAGAAATTCAGAAATTGTGTGGGCATCAGACTTGTGAAGAGAATCTGTAGATCCTGTGGTTGTTGTTTAATTTATCTACTTGGGAACAGCAGGATAGAGCTTGTTGATTTGTGTGAACAAGACCTGCAGGTTTTCTCTACTGTCTCTTGACTTGGGGAATACAAACTTCATATGAGCTGGGGAACAACTGTTCCTGAACAGAAAATGGACTGAGAACTAAATCTTTATCTCTATAAATGAGCTTTCTGAATGTTGAATCTTTGTAATTTTATTTGGTGTTATGAAATTAACCTGTTAGTATATTATTTATTAGCAGTATTACAATGTCAAGAGGAAATAAGCCAGTTTCCTCATTCAGTAAATAACAGAATCTGGGAGATTATCTTGTATGTTTTGTAACCAGTGGAGTTTTTCAGTGCCTTACAAAAGCAAAATTGGCCCAATCCTAGTAAGGCTACTTGCATATAGCAACATCTTTATTTCTTTTTTAACTTGGTTTTTGCCTGTCATCCACATTCTTTATGGTAATTGTAAGTGAAATGTTTTACTTTCACAGAACTGCTTCCTCGTTCAAAACAGGTTCCCTTGGAGATGTCTCAAGGCATGCCAAGGCAAACTGGGTCCAGTGAAATTTGGAGGACAGAGGCAAGACAGGAATATATCAGATATTTACTATTTCCCTTTTACTGTAGTCACTCACAAATTGCTTCTGTGTCCTTTTTTGGAATCCAGGATTACCTGAGTAGCCTTTTAGCTGCCTCTGAAAACTGTCAGGTGTTAATTTCTTCTCCATCTAAATGTTAGTGATCTAGAAGAAAATCCTTTCAGCCGAAGTTGTTCATGCAATACACAAATTCATTGCTCTGCAGATGGACTCCTTCTGCACTTTACAGCTCCTTGAGGTGAAAGATGTGCAAACTCTCCGTTGTAAAAAATTCAGTTGTTGGCTACCATATCATCCACTGCTGAACAATGACTATAAAGTATACATTTTCCTCAGGT